TTAGAGATTTACTTCAGCACTTATCAAACTTAACTTCCCTTTCAACCGTTACGAAACTTGGGTTTACAAAAGGAAAATATGCTCAAGTTGCTGGGCTGTGAAAACCATAGATGCTTTCTTTCTTGGATGCATCCATAACTGGTATTGTAGGAATTACATGCACACATTGAAAATATACGTGTAAACTTTGGTGCAGAAGAGAAAACTAGAGGAAGGAGTGTGTTCCTGAAGAACTCCTGTAAATCTTTCAAATTCTTGGAAAACAGGATCTTATTCAGCAGTCCCTCACCCAGCAAAATGCCAGGCATAAAATAGGTGTCACTGAAGTTGAAGGTACACTTACGGTATTAAATCCCACAGCTCTGCATACTCCCACCTTTATACCTGAAGTAGCAAAACTAGCAATTATGAAACAGGCCAAGAAGAATCTACAATCTAAAGGTTCTTTTTAACCTTAGTAGGAATATTTGGAGTTAGAAGCGAGACTTGAGGTATTTACCATTTCTGTATAGCTTTATGGGTGGCAACAACTCAATGGTAGTAACCTTCTGGTTTTATATTACATATTTGTTTTCAAGTCATAGAGTCAAGGTTCCATTCTTGAGGATTCCCAAGGGAACAGAGGCAGGCAGCACACAAACACAGCAAAGGGAATAAGGTTGATCGAAGTAATGCAGCTGAACACGGGCACTTACCACACATACTAAGAACGACCACCTTTTTTTTAAATTTTATACTGTTTTAAATAAATATCATGAGGACTTTACTAACCACAACCCTCCTCTTCGATAATGTGCTTTTATCATACTTCTTATACGGTGAAACTCTTTCTGTTACAGGAAATAGAACCCTGCAGACTTCTCTGTAGGTTAAACAGTTTCAGGTAAAGTAGCCCTTTGGGACAAAAATGCCCTATCAGTTACACGCCCTCATCCCAAGAGGATCCACTTCTTCCAAGTCATGCCAGTTTCAAGCTCCCTGTTTACGGATGCACTCAACTTGGACTAAAGAATTCTGATTTGCAAAAGGTGAATTTGGATGCTAAAGGCTTCTCATAAGATTTTAGGATTCTAAACTAAATGTCGAATGAGAAGTGTGGCTTATTTTGATAAATTTTACATTTTAAGTCATACAAAATAGCATTATGGAGTAAGCAGCTCCTTTTTTTATTTTCACTTCTCATAGCAGCATAGATTTTGCACCCAAAACACAACAGAAGACGTCACACTATTTCCCTTGAAATATTTTTTTTAAATTGTTTGACTTTAGAAAGGATGAACTTGAACTTATACACTTCATTCATAACTCTGCACCATGGATTACCAAGTCTTTAATTTATAGCCTTCTCTGTTTTTCCACTTGTTCAAAACACTAATAGTGCCAACATTTCCACAAAGCATTCAGAAGCAAAACATGGCCAGATTCACAGATGCTTCTGTCTCTCTCTCTGAATGTGATCCATATATAAACCTCTAGTGAACATGCATGGCTTAGACCCTGTAAGCATGTCAAGTGTATTAACAGTAATATTCTCTCCCTGGTTAATCTTTTTGCATTATTATTTTTGCTTTCATTTTTAAGTGGAAAGAAAAAATATAACGTAAGAGATCTAGTGCAATTTACTAACTTTGATGCCTTTGGGAGTCAGAGGGAGTAACTCACTTAACACAGCCATGATGCTTTGGTGACTTCTTCCACCTGATGGAAGAAATCATGAAACTGTCTCCCTCTCTACAAACCCACATGGGCCTCAGTGTTCACTGTGTCAGGAGGAAGGGACTGCAATTGTCATGTTTCTTTTTTTTTTCATTCTTATCCAACTTTTAAATACTTTTCATGCTGTCCTATTCGTGTTTATCAGAGAATTGGACTTCTTGTGAAACAAATACTTACACTGCATAACTTGTTTCAGGGATAGCACTGCTGTTTCCTCCAAACTCTGCCATTTCCCAAAAAGCCAAATGGTGCCCTATGGCTAAAATATAGCTAGTCCCTTGTCTTTCTGGAATAACTCACATATCAGAAACAACCCTTTGTTCAGTAATCGCTCACACGCCTGGACAGCTCACAGTAGTCAGCTAATGCTGATTGTATTTGCCGCTGACTGAGAGTGTGCCCTGTGGCAGTTCCTTCAGATCAGCAGCCAGCCCTAACCTGTCACTCCAAAGCAACATTTGTGTGACTGTGCTCTAATTACTCATTCTCCTTGTTCAGATGACCATGTGACTTTATGACTTGTTAATCTGTGGAGATACTACATCTCCTAAAGCATTTAAGACCAATTGACAGTATTTCAAACAATTCCCACTGTGGCTACTCATAATGCAACAGCTGGCCTGCTCTAAGGCTCTACCTGTTGGGGGATGGTTCTTGAAGAGAACTTGCAGAATAGGCTAACTTAAGTCTTTTTGAAAATTTCTAGACAGATAAAGCCCATTTTAATAAGCCAAGGTTATCCTTATTCTCTGGATAAATAAACCGTATCTCTTCACACTCAGCATGTGAAGGTTCTCCCTGGATTTTACTCCTGTTTCTATCAGTTTCCTGTTGCACAGATGAACTACATGAGTTTTCCTTAAAACCACCCCAATATGGCCATTGATGTAACAATGAGCTAATGGTCTTTTGTTTCAGGACAAAAAGGAGTGGTCCTTCCAAGCGGCTGTTTTGTGAGGAAGGAGCACGCACAGACTTTTAGCTGTCTGATCAAAGCACACCTATTGATTAAATTACAATGAAAACAAAAACGTCAGGTCTAGATTTTGGAACTACATGAAAGTAAATGCCAGCTTATGAGCACAGCCTCTTTATGTCTCAAAAATACCTTTCTCCTTCATAAGCAGTGCCATTGATTGAGATGCTATTCAGGCAAATGTCTAAGAACATTTTGTTCAGTAATTATTGTAGGCTTGAGCACACAGATTATAGAAGAAAAATCTATTTTAAGCCCAAAACCCAGTGTGCCCTTCACTGCAGGCATGGCTGTGACTAACAGAGATGTCATGCTTATTATTTTACCAGATGCAAAAGCTCAAAACAAGCTATTGAGCTCATTAAAGACACAAAGCATGGGATAGCATCCAACAGTCATAGCAACAAATTACTGGGCTCCAGGCAAACTAGCTAACTACAAATTGAAGTGGGAAAAAAGAGTGAACATAAGATATATAGTAATCATACACAGCAAACACAGAAGTCAAACCAACAGGTCTTTGAGCTGTCAAGAAGGAATATACTAAATTCTAGCATATCTTGGTGACTAACAGATGAAAAACTGATTTTTATTAAAAAATTGATTAAAAAAAACCCCATAAAATAAGGAAGTACTGCAGCCTGGGTTCTGATTAATACTCTTGCCAGGTCAAACATCATACAGCTAGAAAACATATTTCTTTAAAAACACTTTCATGTCAGTGAGGCTATGTACCCCCTCCCTTCAAGCATGCCTGCTGCACTTCTGTGACTTTAGCAGAGTTCTAACTTCAGAAGAGCTCTAAGCAGACTGGAAATCCTATTGGCATTGTTGCTACTCTTGAACAAAGACATCATTTTTCACCTCCTCTGTTAGACGGCTATAAGTCATTGTTAAAAATGTGGAATTAAAGCAACCTCTCTGAATCCAATTAGCAAAACAGAATAAAAAACCATCAACTTCTTTCATCCATAAAGATGAAACAACTGTGCTGGTCAAAGTGCTAAGTTTCATGTAGACTTCCTGTAAAACTTTAAGCTACCAAAGAAATAGAATCTTCATTATGAAAAAGTCGTCAGCTTAAGAGGTCTGTCAACAGATATGAAGGGTCATCTTCAATGCACACTCCAGTATCTGTTTTTGCAGAAGTGTCAGGAAAAAGAAAGTCATTAAAGAGAAACAGCTAAGTTTAACACAAAGAATATGTTCCTTTCATACAAGATTCTAAACCTTGGAGTTGGCTTCCTGAACACAGTAAGATTTTAAAAAGAGCATTTTACAGTAGGTATTCAGAATCTCCAAAAGAAGAGGTTAAAGACTAAAATAAATTCTTCATGGAATCATTGTATTTTAAAGTATCCTACGATAATACAAAAGAGTTCGGCAACGTACTGAGTATGACTCATTTTTCATGGAACTGTCTTAAAAATAAATCACAGAAGCTCTTTACGAATTATCTCCCTTTGAAAAGACTTGAAAGACCAGACTGCAGATTGTTGACATGAAGATGTCAGATGAAAAGAAAAACTATTCAATCCATTTTACTGCACATTGGATATATTTTCGTTGAACTGGGCTATGCACTCTCATGAATCACAATTCTAGGATGCCAGGGAAAACAGACAGTTTTAAGACTTATTTAAGGGATATTTCTAACTGTTGACCACTATGTGACTTAAAATATAGAGCATAATTTTAAAATTGCCAAATGAAAGTTATAAAATTCGATATTCATTAAATTATGATCATTTACATTTTGATGGTCCGTAGTAGCTTTAAAATTGTTATGAAAACCTTTTGCATGCCTTTTTACACTGTGATGGCTAAATCCCTGCAGAATTATTAGGACTTGACAGCTCTACATAAAGTTGAAATAATGGGGTTTGGCATCTGAGAGATCCTTAATCCTCTTCCATCAATACTGCTGCAATAATTGCAAATGTCAGGCTAAAATGACTGTGAGCCTCAGATATCTGTCACTTACAATTACACCAATAAAATCGGTATGATTATTACACTGCATGTTCTATTACAGAACCACAATACTGAAAGCATAATTACTCCAGCATGTGCACTTCTTTTCAATATAAAGAAAAAAAAAATTACAAAAACCCTCAAATCCTGAAAAACCCCCCACCTATTTGGGCTTTCAAGCAAGTCTTACTCAACTATCAGAAGAAAATTTTCCTCTTCCATAGGATGGGACAAACTGTAGTTTCTATTTCATCCATATACATGAAGAATGGTATTTATCCTGTCACTGAAAGCAACAGCTGCACCAGACATATTTTAATTAACAGAAACCAACCGTATTTAGATATACATGTGCAGTCTTATGAGCAGCCTCTTCAGAGTAGTGTCATGTGATATTTGCAATTTTATCCAAGAACTGGTTTTTGTCATGCTCTTCCTTGAGATAATCTAGCACTGCTAAATATTCTCTGGTGGTTTCTAAAAAAAAAATATTCAGATACATTATAAAAGATTGCTTGTCATTAGTATCATTGGATACTGTGAATTATCACTGTTATTGCAAAGGTAATGGCTTGTGAAAAGAGCTGGCAGAATGTGAGGTCAGCGTTACACAACGTTACACAGTTAAAACTATTTCTGTTAATTACAGATTCTGAGAGTGGCCATTAGATAATTTAATATACAGTATGAAATCAGTGTTTGATTTTTGATCTCTTCCACTCTCTACAACTTTAGGTGAGTTGAGTTCTAAACACTAAAAATAATCATAATAATAAAAAACACAAGCATTTTACAGTCTGTGAACGGAATGAGTAATAAATGCCCCTTATGAAAAATGTTCTTTTAAAGATAATTCTTCTAAATTTCCTTGGAATCACAGCTATTTGTAGCAGCATTCCAGTTAAACTTTCACCAAAAAAAAATTAATCTAGTCAAGGACGAAGCTTTTAGAAAAGGGCAGTTCAGTGGTATTTTTGAGAGAGTTCAGTTTTTTTATTAGGATTCCAGTGGAGGAAGTAAATTTGAAAAAGATTGCTTAATTTGTATGAAGTTTCAATTTTTGGATTTTTCAAGTGCATACATTAAATCCTTAGTTCAAAATGTAGGTAATCAGAAACATGAAAGATTCCATCCATTTCTCCCACAGAATCAAGCCTCACAGGAGAAAAAGACAGATTTCTTACATGAATCATCATCTTTAAATTATACCTTCATTAAGTATAATTTATAATAAATTATAAATCTTCATTAAGTCACGACACGTAAATTGTGAGAATTAGGGGCATTTAAAATTGTGATAAGACCTGGATACTTACATGAGCTTCTTGTCTCAGATAGCCTGATGTCCACTGGAAGGAAATCTTGGCTTACAGGCTGGAAGACATGATACACACTTGTCAAGTTTGGATAACTGAAGTACCAGGACTGAAGAGCACAACTTTGAGAACCTCTGATCCACAAGTATTCTTACATAAAAAGGGAAAATAGTGAGTGCTTATTTCTCTCAAATAAATGAATTATCTATATACTGGAAATATAATGTGAAATAATATACATATGTCTCTGTAGGTTACATTCAAGAGTCTGGGCCATCTGAGCTCCTAAGCAGTATTGAAGCAGGGCTTTGAGTCTCCTTTAACTAATTTTACAGTTATAACCCCCATTGCCACAGAGTCAAGTCTAAAAAAAGATGAAACAAGTAAGATGTATGAAACAACCAGACCCAAAGCTTCTAGAATAACAGGCCATACGAGTGCTGCATATTGAGATGATTGTTGCAAATGCATCTGATCCATCAGATATCATGCCATATATTCAGACTTCCTAATAAAACTGGCAATTTTCATCTAGGATTTAGTCCAAGTCCTATTCTAGGTGAAATAATTTTGCAGAACCTCACAGTTGTTATAAGGAAGAACAGATTATTCTTTGATTCCGATTTGACTCACAAGTGAGGGTCCTTCACACAAATGTTGCTAAGTGATTAACTGGTAACATTATTTTCCAGCTCAAAAAGTACATATTTAATAATGTGATCCCTGAAAAGACTGACTTTTTCAGCAGTCTCCATGTGTTGCAGTTTGGAGCTGGCTCCCTGCCAAGTCTCCAACACCACAGCAAAAGCTTCCCCCCCAAAAAAACCAAAGGAAATGAGAAAAAAAACCCAAGAGACCCGAAAACAGGTATACACACTCCATAAAGAACCAGCCAAAGAAAATCTTAATACTTTTCTCGAGATAGCACAATTGTGCCAAACGCCACCGCCACACTGCCAGACCCCACATCTGCAGAAACCACAAGCCCTGTAGGCCCGACCAAGCCTCAGCTCCCCCACAGGAGCGAGACCCACCGTGGGAGTCTGCTGGCCCCAAACCTCGCAGAACAGAAGAGAGGAAGAGGCTTCTCTCTCCGTCTATTTATATGTTTGATTACGTAAAGAAATAGGATGGAATACTTCCTTCCTTCCTGGTTACCAGGAAGGAAGGCCTAGACTAAAAACTATTACACCATGGAAGTCCTGATGCAAGACATTGTCCTCTTCTTCCAGTCACCTGAGGTTACAACCTCTAGATTCCAAGCAGTGGGTGAAGGAGAGCAAGGATTTATCTGACACAACCTTGACGGTATTTCTGCCAGTACTTTTAAAATTTTCAGAATGGGAAGAAGTGATCTAGACATCGAGGAGGATAAATGTTGATCATACAGGACAGCTATTGCCATTTAAGAAATGTGCTATAATCTTCTGATAAATTTTTAATTCAGTTAATACAGAACTTCATGAAAAAGAAATATTAAGCAGTAGCATTTCTCAACCTTAGAACAGCCTGAGGAAATTTTTTGGCATTCACATGGCTTTTTGTCATTTTTCTTTTGGCGTCATTCCACAAACAGCTGGTTAGTATAAGAGCTGAATGAATTTTAGATTCATTTATAGAAATCACTGCAAGGAACTGACTGAATATAGTGTTTTTCTTCTTATGCCACATTATTCTCTGTTTCCTAATTTTCCTAGAAAACAAACAGTTCACTTTGCATGCAGCATCATAATTTTTTGACTACGTATATGAGATACAAATCCATAGTTATATGTTAATCATTACATATTACTGAAAAAAACATTTATTACTCACTAATATGCAAAGAATGTGCAACCTGTGGGACAGAACCAACTTGTGAAAACTTGTTAGTGTATCTGTTCCCAGAACTTTCTTAAATAAATGACAGTGTTTGGGTGTATAAAAACACTGATTCAGGTATCTTTGCGTAAGAATGCATTGCATCATTTACCTACACTCAAAATACTTGCAGAGTCATGTACTGTTCCAGCAAAGACAACCCAAAGAAAGAACAATCTAGTATCTTTTAGCCATCAATCTTCTACTCTCTCAAAACTCCCCAGAGACACTGTATTGATATTGTATTTTTATTTTTATTTTACACTCAAAGTTGGGATTGTGTTGGTTAAAATTGATCTGTCTTTTCTAACGGGCAGTCTTATAAACTATCTCTGGCAGTTCATTTGCCCTGAAACATGAACACTGTTTTAAATTTTACAATGTCACCAAACTGGTTAACATTACAATAGAACATGAAAACATTTGTGTTTTCAAGACACATAGATACTGTTTTATCCTGAAGGGAGAAAAATTCAATCCTTATACAATAACTGCGTTGGCTTTTATTTCTCTCTGATGATGACAATAATGAATGTCCACCCTCTTCACTTTCAGGTGTGAATTTTTGTGTTCTTTAAACAGCACCTTTTTAACTTTATAATCTAATTTTTTTCATTTCTCACCAGACATCAAGTCATTCTTTTCCTTTTTCCACAGCCCTCCAGACCATTCCTTCCTTATTAGATCACTTCCCCATTGCAGTTTCCCCAAATTCTAGCTTCTCCCTCATCTTTTCTCACTGAAGCTTTTCTGAGCTTTGGTGCAAATGAAATATTCACTTCAACCCGTTGAGTTCAAGGTTATGAAAAACATGTCATCAGAGTAACAGTGATATAATTAATCCTAGTAGAATACTTCTTTAAAAGATCACAGTCTTCTCATAATGTATTACCTTAATACTTCATCAGAAAGTTGTTTTCCAAGACATAAAAGACAGTACCAAACTAAAAACCCATTTTATGAGAAAGAAAATAAACTTACACATTTGCCACTGATGGCTTTTCCAAAGAAACTTTATGTTTGTTTTTTGCTTGTTCAAATGGTTCATCATTTCTATTTAGGTACAATGCAAGTCTTTATCTTAACCTGCTTGTTATAACAAGCTGTAACTACAGAACATTTTCAAGTTAATTAAAGTTATATTGCCTCAAGGTTTAAAAAGCCAGTGCAGCTTTTGATCTGTGTATGGGAGTTGTTACAAGAGGGAGGAAGTAGGTTATGTTACTATAGGATACTTAGCTATTAGTTGCTCTTAGGATTATTCAGTAGTAAAAATGAAAAGTAAAAATAAGAATGTTATTGTGAAATTAGACCCCTGTCCATCCCCACAGTGTTTCATATAAATAGTAACTATGTCTCTTAGAGGAAGAGATGATGAATCCCGCAGCCATGTCCTGGTAGCAATGAGTTAGCTGTGTTATCAAAATGAAATTTTATATGCAGTAACCTGAATCAGGCACTCCAGTCTAATAAATTCAATTTTAATGAGAAAGAGAATCAGATGTTGACTCTACTCAAGATGATGCTTATTGCTATGAGTATCACCTACCATTGAAAAAGAAAATGTTCACTGTCATATACAATTTTGAAAAGGGAAGTCAGAAAAGCCTATCTAGCTCAGTCTGATCACATTATGATAGAAAGATTGCTTAATATGGAGCATATAAGCACTTCAGTCAGCTTTGCTGAATCAGGATGATTTCAGTTAGTTCTCTTAATCTTGTTGCCTTATATTGTTTTCATATCATTTTCTCAGAGCTAAAAGTTTAGGCTACTTTTGATTATTTGGTAAATAAATGTAGTTAATTAGGTTTTTTGTTTGTTCTACAGTACAAATGTGAGGCTTTTGCACAAACTACCCATATATTCAAATTTCTGCTTCGAATTAGTGCTGTTCTTATATGATTACAGTTGCTACAGAACCATTAAAAAAACTTTTTATCTGAGAAAAAAAAAAATCTCTTCATTAATTGTCTCTCCATTCTATGCATTTGAGTATGAAGGCTGAGGCACTGGCAGTCTACCAGACTTCTCAATGGATAATTTCCACTAAATGATGAACTAAAATTATTTTTACTTCAGTATTTTTAGATGCTCTTCCAGCTTCCTTTTCATTATTGGTATGAGGAAGTAATTTATTGCATTGTTATGGAATAGTCAGCTTATTCTCTTTCTATTTATGTCCCTCTCAGTATATATATACATATATATCTGTTTACTCATTAAAGTAATTAACCACACTCATCCTGATATCAGAACTAGGAAAATCCCACCACACCATTCTTTGCTCATGCAATTTGAAGCGAAATATTTGAAGTGAAATCTAGAGCGTTCTAACACTGAGCCTTTAGTGTTGTCAGTCAAAATAAGAAGAGAATAACAGAGGGTCTTTGGAATCTCCCTTGGTAATTCCAGAGTATCTTAGTTAACCCTTCCATCTACTAACTTTTTTCCCATATATGTCTGAAAGCTAGAGCAAAACACTAACAAAGCAAGTTACATCTCACCCTCAGTCACAAGGGAAATTTTATGCCCTAAAACTGTATAACAAGCTAATTTGTCTGTTTATCTTCCATACAAGCAACTCCATCTTTTCTTCCATATTCCCTCTCATGTTTGCAAAGATTTCCCTATAAATACTGTAAAGTATTAATACCCCACCACCACCTCTAAATCCTTTACGAAAACCCAGTCTTTCTGGGAAGTCTACAAATCCCTTGATGCTGATATGCCAGGAAGCAATCTATCTTCCTAACCGGCACTATTTATTGGGTTTCTTTACTCTTCTATTTGTCATACCTACACACCATCTGATGTCTTTGACTTAATTCCTAAGCACCTGGGGCAAGGATCATTTATTAACTCTGTTTGTACAACATCAAGAGCAACAGGGTTATGATTTATGCCAGACCTGACAAATTAAATAAATAGCCTGTCTTTCCCCTGAGAGCCTCAAACACTGGTTTTTGGAACATTAGTAAAACAAGTACTGGAACTGAATAAAATGGCTTGGATGGTGAGCTCAAACAATAAATTCTATGGACATTTTTCTCAAAGGTAGGAATGTATGCTTTTCAACTTTGCCTATTCTTCTAAAAATGTTTAGTTTCAAGAAATCTTTCAATATTTTTTTTTCCAAACATAAAAACCTGAATAAAGTGAACATGAGTTTAGGCGCATGAAGAGAATACTAGAAAT